TGCTCTGTCGCTTTCTGCCGAGAGAGGAAAGATTGATGCCATACCACCAAAATAAATCGGTTAGTTTCTAGCACCAACAGGGCTGAAAGGCGAGCCCCGTGCTGAAATGTGTCTTGAAATGAGATGAATCCCTGAGTCGAGGGCAGCGAAGCCCGGGATTCGAGGGGGATCTGCTCAAATCAGGCCCAGTCCACCTGCCCGCACACTTTTCTCCTTCCACAGTGGTGGAAAGCACCTCCTTCCCACCCAGGTGGCATGGAAAGTGCACCCCGGTGGGAGCCGTCTGTCCTCACACCAGGTGCCACCTCGTCCCTCTGCCTTCATCCAAGAACGTCCTCTGCAACGCAGGACAACGGGGCCCTCCTAACCCCACCCTGGCTCCCCCCTCTTCCCTAACATTTCCGGGAAGGGGAAGAAAATTGGAGAGGAGGGCTGGCAGCAGCCGGAGCCATATCCTGGCTCAACCAGTTTCCTACCAGCAGAAGCCACCAAAAAGCCTTCCCGGCACAGATGGATGCTTGAGGATGGAGGCCTGTGCAGCTGGCAATGTGGATCCCCAGAAACGTGGGCCTGGGGGACAAACCCAGCGTTTCCCAGAGAAGCACAGCCCTCTCCCTGGCTCCACCCTCTTCTCTCAGACTGCTAGCCTTTGGCAACTCATTTATTTCTTGCATTTCTAGCCCGCCCCATTAGCCACACAGCTCCCTGCAGTTGTGCATTTTTTGCTAGTCAAAGAGGTCCAAATGCCTCTTTTGGAAGTCAGTGGCTCAAAGAGCTTTATGCTGCAAGACGCCGGTACTCTGGCCCCATCAATCTGGCGTTGGCTTTGCACATTGCTGGACTCCGGCCCTCAAGAGCTTCTCCGAAATGGAATGCAGCTCTTGGGCTGCAGAAGTGAACACCCTGTTTCTCAGGACAGGCAGTCTGGCACCAGATCAAGTCCATTATGAGTGGATGAGAGGCTGGGCTCAACTCCTAATGACGTCAGGCAAGGGAAGGCGTCTGAGTTTGCTATTTTGAGCTACCTAGTCCAGTCGCCCTGCACTGTGGGACAAGTAAGAACGCTCCAGGTTTCCTAGGCATAACCACACGTTCGATGAAACCGTATCCTGGACCATGAAGGAAAGAGCCGAAAGTGCCAGGATGATAGATCATCCCGACTGCAGCGCGATGCAGTGGTTAGACCTGGAGTGGGACACTGGAGATCTAGGTTCCAGTCCCCACTCGGCTACTAAGCTCATTGGGTGACTTTGGGCCAGCCACTGCCTCTCAACCTAACCTACCTCACAGGGTTGTTGTGAGGAAACCATTAAGAGGAAGGTCATATAAGCCACCTTGAGTTTATTGAAAGGAAAAAGGTGTGATATAAATATAATAAATAAATATGGGACAAAGCACTCCCTGAAATACACTCCCTGGTTACCTGAAGGAGCGCTTACATCCATATATGCCCAGCCTCCCCTTGAGATCGGTGGGAGAGGCCCTTCTCCGGGAGCCCTCCGTGAAAGAAATTAGGAGGGTGGGGACTCGGAGGAGGGCTTTCTCAGCGGTGGCGCCCGATCTATGGAATGCGCTCCCCAGAGAGGTCCGCCTGGCGCCGTCGTTATTTGTTTTTCGACGCCAGGTGAAGACCTTTTTATTTAAGCGGCATTTTAACTGTTAATATTATTGGATTTTATTTGGCCAGGGCGGCTTATTTTATACTATATTTTTGTATTTTTAATCTAATATTTATATTTTTTAATTTAAGATTATAATTATTTTAATTTATTGTTGTAAGCTGCCCCGAGGCTTCGGCGAATGGGGCGGCATAAAAATGTTTTAATAAATTAATAAATAAACTGAGGCAAGCTGACCTGGGCTTGCAAAGTCTGCGCTTTGTGACTTGAGCCAAACTGGAAACCAGTGGTGCCATTCAGTAGTATTGCTGGCAGTCCTGACACCTGTTTCTGACCACCTAGGAAGGCAGGATCCTTTCCACCCACTTGGAGACGGGAAAACCAGAGTTGGGCTCCTTCTGCAAACATGCATCTCTCCCTTCCCTTGCTCCCCAAACTACCACCTCTTCACAGAAAAGTGCCAGCCTGTTTAATTCCACAGGTCTGGAAATGCACCCCAATATTTATCTGAAATGCAGTTCAGCTTTTGGATTGGAGAGATTCTGCACCCCGATGTACATTCACTAGCTCGACGTTTCTTTTCGGTACACTGAGTCTCAACCATCAAGGCGCAAGGACAATCAAGCACATGTGCCACACAGCCGCAGACTTTATCCTGGTTCCATGATCTGCCGCTACGATCCAGGCAGGCCTGCACCCAGGGGGACATCGGGCAAAGCCCCTTGTTGACGTTTTCAAAAAGTATTCCAGGAAACAAAGCCAATTCCTGCTTCCAGCACTGAAAACCTATGTAATGTGTGCCCTGGCAGCTTTCATGAAGACAATAGACTATTTGTTTCAGTTAATTCCACAGCAAATGAGAAACAATCAATTACCAGGCAGTGCCAATTACTGCAGCATGCTAATGAAAAAAATAAATAATTGAGAGTATGAATAAACACAGCATTTGATGGCAACGTTTGTGGAAACTGCTGGTGTCTGCAGGAATGGAAGCGGCTGTGTGCAAGCATTGTTTTCTGATGGGAAGTATTATTACTTCTTTGGGGAAAACACACATCCTTTGCCTAATTGGATTCTCTCCTCCCCTCCAACTTCAGGTCCCTGACACTCATGTATAAATATTTAAATTGCAGTCACGTCCATGGTTTATCTCCCCTTTTGGATGTACGTAACATCAAGAACTGCTTCGGTTTGATCAACCTGAACCTTCTTTTATTTTCATGATAAAAAGAAGAATTCACCTCGGATGAGCAGTCTTTCTGAGGTTCATAGCTGCATCTCAGCATGTTGCTTGGGGCAGGAGAGCATGCTATTTGCAGAAGCTGCAATTCATTTCGAAATTGTGAATTTATACATTTCTTCAGAAAAAAACAACAATTTACAAGCATCGGCTCAAGACCTAAGAACCTGACTGTTTGTTATGTGTGTTGAAGGATTTCTGGATGATGTAGCTTCTCTCCCTCCCCTTGCTACATAGCAAAGGGAAATTTGGAGAGATGTCTGTGAGGCCTAAACAAGGTTTGCTGTCCAAAAAACCCCAACACCCCAGCCCATGGGTGCGCCTAATGACTGTGGATTTCAGTTCCAGTGTTGACATCCTGAATTTAGTTAGTTGAGCCTTATCGATTTTCGTTGTTTGTTTGCCTTCATTAGTAAGAGTGAAGATTCAGGTGTACACACACATGAATCTTAATTCATGATGAAATAAAAAGCATTAACCAACATCCTCAGAGTTTTGTTATTGAAACAAAAGGGAAAAATACAAAGAAAAACAAGTTAATTTTGCCTTTGTAGAAATAAAACTCTTTCCACAAAATCAAAATTAAAAATTCACCAATGCAGTCCCTTTATGTTCTCTGAAAACAACCTGTGAATCTCCTGTACTTCTACAAATTTCTACCATGCTCAGTTCAGTGTATATTTTGATCCCATAATTTTAGGTATAAATACATGCATGGACCTCTATGTGTAAGTATTAAATTCAAAAACCTAACTTTTGGATTCTGAACTGTGCTGCTAAATTGTGAGTTTCTGCACAATTTTGTGCTGGTGGCTGCACCAGAAGCTGGTTCATTGATCCCTCCTGCTGCCCCAGTTTTTCTAAGCTCTAGCCACTAGTGAGCACTGCTGCTTACACAGAAAGTCCCTTGTTAGATTTGCAGCTTTTCCAGGTATGGCTCAAAAAACTCCAGCCTGAAAACCTGAGAGCTGCTGCCAGTCTGTGTCTGCAGTACTGAGTGAGAGGGACCAAGAGTCTGACTTGGACTAAAAAAAGTATCCTAGATTGTCATAACATCATCCTGATTTGGACAGGAGAAGAAACAGGAGACCCTTTTATTTCCCCCTCTTTGAAAAAATATGATTATGGCATTTGGAAAGGCTCAGCCTCATGCTCACAGGCACTGGCAGTGAGACAAATGATGTGAACTGGATGCGACCACTACCAAACCCCCCAAAGCACAAGAAAACTAAGATACTTTGCCACGGGAGCGGGAGAACTCATAGTGGCACAGCTGGCCCATGAGAGGCTGGTGCCTGGGGTGAAGTGGCCACAGTCTTGCTCCAAAAGGAGGACTGTACAAATGCAACAAACAGGGTTTCTTCTCCGCTGCCCCCAAACTCTGCAACTCGCTCCCTTTGGAGTCGGGCCTGATTCCATCCTTTGCATTCAGGAAGGGGTTTGTTCTTATCCTGGCATTTAAAATTGCTGTTATGCCTTCTAAAGTTTTAAAGTTGTTTTTAGCATTTTGCTATGTATTTGCATACATAGCAAATACATGAGATGTCCCTCCGTGAGAGACATCAGGAAGCAAGGTACCCAGAGGAGGGCTTTCTCTGCTGTGGCGCCCCATCTGTGGAATGGGCTCCCCAGAGAGGTCCGCCTGGCGCCATCGTTATTTGTTTTTCGGCGCCAGGCTAAGACCTTATTATTCAAACAATATTTTAACAATGTATAGTATTTATAGGTTTTAATTGTGCAGCCAGGGTGTTTCCAGGTTTTAACTGTATTTGTATTATATTTATTTATTTGTGTGAGCCGTCCCGAGGCTATATAGCAAGGGGACGGCATGCAAAAACTCTAAAGAAAGAAAGAAAGAAAGAAATTTGTGATTAGGATTTACTTTTTGAATTTTGCATAAGACACCTTGGTTGGCCTCAGAAAAATGGCCTAGAAAGACAAGAAACAAACGAAGAAACAGACTTTCAGTTGGCACAATCCTCTTGGAATCTGAATTCAGAAATGTCATTCAGACATTCTGTAAATGTAGTCTGACTATCCTGGATCGCTGAGGCCAGCCCAGCCTCATTGCGGGGAAGTTCTGCTCCTTTTCATACCACACGCCCACCCTTTAGCCCCGAGGATTCGGCAGGTCGACTCACCGCCACCAGGATCTGCAGGGCACTGTGCATGACCTCGATGTAGCGGTACTCCAGAGCACAGCCGATCACGGAGACGTAGGAGTGGCTGTCCAGGCCTTTGATGCCCGCCATGGGGGTCTCCTTCCGGACACACCCGGGACCGTTCTCACTCCACCACGACTGGTGCCGGGAGATGTTGAAGGTCAGGAGCTCGCTGTCCTGGAGAGGGAAGCGAAAAGAAACACAACAAAGAAGTCATTTTTACCAAGGAGACATTTATTGTGGTTACAGAGCCTTCCATCCCAATCTTTTCCCACCTGTGAGGGGCCCAAGGGCGTTTAGGACCGGCCCAAAGTTGCCAGTGAGCTTCATGAATGAGTGGGGACTAGGACTCGGATCTCCCAGGCCCCCAGTCCAGCGCTCTCGCACCCACCCCATGCGAGCTCTCATAAATTTAGCATAACTAAAGAGTTCAGTGTCAGTTTTAGCCTTTCAAATCTCTGGTTGACTGCAGAACTTCTGTGCTCTGTAGTTCATGGGTAGCTTTGTCTGTTCCTCTGTGCCGGAGTGCCAAGACTGTAAAAGTTCAAACTAGCATGCCTGCTAAGGAGACCCTAGGGGTGTGTGCCTCAGGGTTATTTCATTTTTAAAATGTATTAATTGATTTTAATTAATTTTAATGTGCCCATGAGGTTGAAGCCTACATCTTCACCAAGGATGGTCAGGTTCCTTAACGAGCACGATCGCTTTGCGGTCCGTATGGGATGACGACAAGGAAGATTGGCACGCCAAGGGACAGTTACATGCCTCCCCATTGCTGTGGGGCAGCCTCCCTCTCCCGGAAACGGAGTGGCAGACTTGGAGACCTGCAGAACAGCAGGGACCAGACGTGAAGCGTGGATTCACTCAGGCGGGTCCAGCGCAAAGAGGGCTGTGCCGGCTCGCTTGGAGGCTTCACTGGACCAAGCAAAGGGTTATTCCAACTGGTGCAAAGCTGGACCCATTTGCTGGAAACATGATAATTTTTAGCCAGGCATGCGAAAAGTGAGCAAGGACATCTGTGCTACCTCTGCCTGCTGTACCTCCCACTCCCATCTCCTCCTTTCCCGTTCCCTGTCCTACAGACCGAGCCCCAGAGGTTGCTGCTGTCTGTCTGCTCGCTGTCGGTCTGGTTCCTAGTCCCTTCCTTTGTTTCCTGGGAAGAATGTGCTTACTCTCTGTCCCAGGAGGACTGGGCTTGCCCTCCTGCTCTGGGCACTGAGACACGGGGCTCCCCTCCCTGCCTTTTGCATCTTGTGCTCCAAAACGACAGAGAGCAATGGAACTTGAGCTCCTGCCTGGAGGGATTCCTGGGGATCTCCGGTCCTGGGGCCACCGGTGCCTGGATGATCAGGTGCCCCATCAGCCCCGTGCCACTGTGGCGCTGTCCCACGCGTGGCACGCTGTGTCTGTGCTGGAGGTTTCCAGTTGCCAGACCCTCCACAGAGGGGCCACATCCAGGTCACGTTCTCAGAACAATCACTGATGGGCGAACTTTTACATTGCCTCCAGAGTCACCGAGCGTATGTACTTTTTTCTTTTCTTTTACAGTTTGACGTTTTCTAGGGTGTTTCCCCAACCTCTCCCAGGCTTAATTGTTGTTCAGTCAATCAACCAACCAACCAACCAATTGATCAATCACATTCCAATGCCTCCTTCTTTGCTCTTGCAAGGAACCCAAAGCAGCTTCCATGGTTGGTCTTCTCTCCAGTTGAACATCAAAACAACCCTAGGATGTAGGTTAGTCTGGAAGTTGGGGCTACAAGTCAGCCAGTGAACTTTGTGGATGAGAACCTGGACCGCCTGAATGCCAGTGCAGCACCATAACCACTACCCCACACTGCTACATTTTGCTAGCATAGCAGTGGCATCTCTCTCCACCCACTCCCAGCATCGCTAAAGTATAGGATTGCACTGTAAAGCCATAAAATTAATATATGTGGAATTGGAAGCGGTGTTGGCTGAGGATCCAGTACAGTCATAAACAATATTTCCCTAACCATCCACTTTAATTTCTTCTTCGCCATGAGCACTAAATAACTCCCATAAATTCTTGCCTCAATTCCTCCTGGTGCACTGATGCATTGCATGTTTCAGTCTTCTATTGACCTCCCTCACACTTAACCCTTGAGTCAAATTACTCCAAGAAACCGACCCTTGGCAGGATCAATAACAGCTTAGGTCCATCTCCCTGCAGAATTCCAAATCATCTTTCTCAGCAGCCTGGATGCAGCGATCTCCCATACCCCTTCCCCTCCTCGGTGATACATTTGCTTCAGGGAGCGAAATTGTTCCATTTAGGGGCACGATGCTTTGGGAACACAGTGGGGGTTTGCACGGGGTGGAAAGGACATGTCATCACATTGCCCCTGACAAAGAATTTATTTCTTCCAAGGAAAGGCACTAGTGTGACCCAGTCCGCAGACCCTAACCCAGTCTCTGGACCACCTTGTAGGCCTACTCAAGCTCACAAGTCCCTTCCTTTGGGCCATGAGGACTAAAGCCTTCATGGAAAAGTTGTGTTTTGAGGAGGGATTCTGTGTGTGTTCGTGTGTGCAGAGAGAGAGGTTTGCACATCACGAGAAGTGACAGTCGGGGGCTGCCATGAGGGATAGTAACTTGCCACATTTCCCCAACAAACCACCCTGAACCCCTGGCTGGTTCCTTCTTTTCCCACCCCACCATCTCCTGTTCTTGCCATGCCTCCCAGCAGCCTCCCTGGAAAGCTGCCCTCCATTTCTCTGTTGTACACCGGTGATCTCAGTCCAGGATGGGCTGCACAGCTTACAAATTCTAAGCATGTAGATGGATGCTAAGCTCCATTTTCAGCTGGATCCACTGCCAAGAGCAGGCTGGAATTACTTAGGGAAAAGCTTTATCAACAGCTGCATTTCTCTGGGAGATCCTCTGGGCATCACGTGCAGAGCCACAGGGCCAAAATCAGAAACCTCAGCTTGGACGAAGCCGCAGTTGGACCCAGTATCAAAAAAGATGTCTCTGCACTAGCAATGGACACTTTTCGTTAAATCTGCTGCAGCTGCATCTTGTGGATCGTCAAGCATCTTTTGTGCCATATTCCACCCATGGACAGAATCCACCTTTTCTCCATTTCCTGAATCTGCCTTTGTGCTGGAAAAGGCACACTGGCACAAATGCGCACTTCTGAACATGCCCCCCCCCCAAACTGGCATTTTCATGCTTTAGTCCATGTGAGAAAAGGTGCATTTTCAGCTTGCATGTTTCTGTTGTCATCTTTTTATAACGAAATCTGCAGAATCCACACAATGCAGAAAAAGCTGCTCCAGTGCAGAATCCACAGCTCAAAGTCACAGAAAGTCGTTCATTGCACATGTCTTTGGCATCGCTACCTTGTGCAAACATGCGTGCATGTGAGAAACGGACACTAGTCCACATAGGTTTCTGGTGCGAGACACTTGTCAGTGTTTAAGGTGCTACAGGATTCTTCGCTGCTTTTGCTGTTACAGAGCAGCACATGGCTTACCCCTCCAGAATCTGTTTACAAATCTTTGCCTTGACCTGCCAACCCTGCTCAAAGGGAAACGTGGATTTATTTCAACACATGCAGTAGTTTATTCAGCTTCCCAGCACCAACTCGTCCCTTCTGACGGAGAGATAACCGGCTGAGTTGCATGTATCCATTCCTCTCCTCTCACATCTCTGTGTCTCTCTTGAAGGTTTATGGCTGCCTCCTTCCCTAATGCAAATCAGGCTAAAGGAAAAGGGAAAACCCAAGGGAAAATGGTGTCCCAGGTGCTTTCAGGACCAAGTCTACATGGCAGGGTCCTCTTTCTGCCTGAAACATGCGATGCCTTCCTTGTGCTTTCGTCTCCATACAGGTAGGGTAGAAGAGAGGAGAAGGAAAAGTAAGCCATCCAGAGACTTTTAGTAATGGGACGACATATAAAAGCTTTAAACAAATAAGTAAATATTTTTATGCACCATTTTTCATTTGGACTTTTGCTATCCTGTGTGATCAGGCTGTGTTGCATTGCATGTTCAAATATGAATGTGCTGGTTTATTTATTTAGTTAGGTGTTTTAATCCTACACTCAAATCCTGAAGGAGGATTTGCAAGTACAAGTACAGCCATGCCTATGTCGCTCTAAAAAGCAAAAAATACTTTTCAAAGGAAGTGGTGACCGACCAGCTGTCAAACCTCCTTGCTCCCATAAAAAGGGGTGGCTCTCACTTCTCCACTTTCCTGGAACATTGGGAAAGGGCGGGAAAGCATGTGGAACCTCAGAAGAGCCAGATCCAGAAACCAAACCAAACAAAGCCCCCTGAGGACCTCACTGTGAGGGGGATGACCCATCAGTTACCCACTTTTTTCTGGCAAAGATCACTCACAGCTTTGGTTTCTCATTGACAGCTTAGTTTTTGACAGCTCTCAAGGGAAGGCAAAGAATAAACAAAGTTAGGACTAAGTACAAGTTTGGACTAAGAAACTCAATTTTAAAAGTTTGCAAAAAGCATGCCAATCTTGTACTGAGATTTTTATAAAGGGTATGATAAACCAAGGATACCCCCTCCAGCGTGCTTCGTAGGTACTCTGAAGGGACTCTCATTCATGGTCCAATTGAAGTTTGCTTTTTTGATCTCTGTGTGGGTGGGGATGGTGCAAGGGGGAAAGGGCTTGTGATTATAGAAGGGAATGTAGACGAGACAGGCCCAACTACGGGTTCCCATGGGATGACCAGAGAGGGCAAAGGGAGGAGTGGGGAACAACCCAGAGTGGGTCTGATCCTCTATCAGGCGCACTGTGTATCGTTTCACAAGCAGCCCTCCCTACAAAGCTTATTCACGGGGTGGGTTATTATGGTGTATGAACTCAACCCCCAAAGGCAATCCGCTCCCCTTTGCAAGTCCTTTTACTGCTCAGACCAATCCCTTATTATTGATTCAGAGTCTCCTTCCCTGCTATTTCCGCCCATTGGTTCCAGTTCAGGCCTCCATTCACATCCTGAATGCAGAAGCTGCCACTTTCTTTATTTTCGCATGGTGTGGTGGATTCTGAGGTGCAAGCAGACAAGGCGTGCCTGTCCCGGGGAGAGTTGGATCGGCCCTGTGAACCCCCATCAGCAAGCCAGTTCCAGCAGCGCCCGTCTCTACCAGGATCAGCTCTTTGGCAACGCAAACGGCGTTCAAGACGACAGCACAGC